GGAAGTAGTGAGGGCCCAGCAACTGTTTGGTTACCAATATTGTTCCAAATATATTCTTTTGTGTTCAACAGCATGAAGGAATCTCATACAGGTTTAGAACACCAGCAGAATTTTCATTTTTGGGTGAACTATAACGCAGCCTAATATAGCTGCTGTTACCATTTGTGTCAATAACGTAAATCAAACATCAGAAAGAAAATTACTTGCTGTCCTTGACTGAATCACTTTTGTAAAATAAATAAGAATGAATGTATATTGAATTTATACAGTGAAGACTATTCAGTTTATTTGTACATTTATTTTATACAATATAATTTCTTATTCAGTGCTTTACAGTTTTTCTCAATTGCTTTGGCTCAATTCTCGAATGAAACTTTTTTTTCCCCGAAACAATAAGTTCAGATCTCTGAACAATTAGCTTCTTGTTCACATCAGATTGGAATTTCTTATTGATTTGAGCAAATTGCAAATACTTTGGCACATGTGTGCAAACAGTAAGTACAATTGTCTGCAGTTTGCACAACAACTAATTGCATATGGCTTGTTGATCAAAACTGATGAGCCGATTCTCACTTAAACTGTCAAAGTCTTCACAACTTCTCAATCATTTTTCATCGTGTAAGCCATCACATTCAAAACGATCCATTCAATTATGAAAAATTGGTATACACGCATGTATATTCCATAAATATCTGACATTGACATTAGATGTTGTAGATTAATGAGAATCGCTAAAATTAATGCATATATTGTGAGACAAAGGTCTTCTTTCTGATTTTCCTGATTTTCAAAGATAATTAAAACAACAGTCTTTAAATAACGAAATAATATGTAAAAGTATGGTATTTGGGGTAAAAAGCGCCCCTGCTGTTGGGGCTAAAGGGACACAGTAATTAACATGATAATTAATAGATGGCTGACTTTTCCATTTGCTGACATGGTTAGATTCAGATGATAAATATCATATATTATGTTGGGCGTCCGTATTAGATATAATCACCAAGTTTAGAATGAAACCATAATTTCAAAACATCATATTAATCATATCATATAATAAAATATTGTTTGTTGTTACTACTGTAAATCTATATTAATTTTTT